CTCCAGCTAATAACCTGACCCTGCCTTATCCCCATATCCCTTAATCCCTTTTGCAATAAGAAATCTATCTATCTCAGTCTTGAATATGTTCAAGGACTGAGCATCAACAGCTCTTTGGGGTTGTGAGTTCCATATATTCACCACCCTTTGAGTGAAGAAGTTCTTCCTCAATTCAGCGCCTTGGGACGTCCTCCCGACATGAAAGGCGCTCTATAAATGGAATCTTGTTGTTGTTGTTGTTGTTGAAAGGGCTGGCCTCTGATTTTAAGGTTGTGACCCCTGGTTATAGTTTCTCCAACCAGGGGAAATAATCTCCCACTATCTACTCTGTCATGCCCTTTGATGATCTTATAAGATGCCCTCTAATTCTTCTATATTCTAGAGAATATAGGCGCAAATTGGTCAGCCTATCCTCATAACTCATCCCCTTCATCCCTGGAACTAACCTAATAAATCTATATTGCACCCCCTCCAAGGCAAGTACATCCTTCCTTAAATAAGGAGACCAAAACTGGACACAGTATTCCAGGTGTGGTCTCACCAGGGTCCTATACAGTTGCAGCAATACTTCCCTACTCTTATACTCTAATCCTTTCATAATGAATACTAATATACCATTCGCCTTCCTAATTGCTGCTGCACCTGCAGACTAACTTTCTGTGATTGGTGTACAAGGACACCCAAGTCCCTCTGGACGCTAACACATTCTAATCTCTTCCCTTCTAAAAAATAACCCGCTCTACTGTTTTTGCGACCTAGGTGGATGACTTCGCACTTCCCTACATTATACTTCATCTGCCACCTAACTGCCCAATCGTCTAACCTATCTATGTCTCACTGCANTTTTTTTATGTCGTCCTCTGTGTTGGCACTTCCTCCTAGTTTTGTGTCATCCGCGAATTTAGATATATTAACTTCGAGATGTCCTCATCTAGATCGTTGATGTAGATGGTAAATAGCTGAGGCCCAAGAACTGATCCTTGTGGCATTCCACTAGTCACATCCTGCCAATCCGAAAAGGACCCGTTTATCCCTACTCTTTGTTTCCCGTTAACCATTCCCCAATCCACATTAATATGCTCCCCCCAATTCCATGGTCCCTTATCTTTTGGACTAACCTTTTATGTGGCATCTTATCGAATGCCTTCTGGAAGTCCAAATAGACCACATCCACTGATTCACCCTTATCTAGTTTACTCGAAATATCCTCAAAAAACTCTATGAGATTTGTCAAACATGACTTCCCTTTTGTAAAGCCATGTTGACTTGGCCTAATTATATTGTACTCCCCTAAATACCGCACTACCACATCCTTAATCAACGATTCTAAAATTCTTCCTATCGCTGATGTGAGACTAACCGGCCTATAGATCCCCATCTTTTCCTTTCCACCTTTTTTAAATAGTGGTGTGACATTTGCGATCTTCCAATCCATGGGGACTGTTCCAAAATCCAAGGAATTTTAGAAGATCAGACATAAGGCCTCCACTATCTCATAAGCTCCCTCTTTTAAAACCTTGGGATGCAAGCCATCCGGACCAGGGGATTTGTCACTTTTTAGTGCTAACAGTTTCCCTACCACCAATTCTCTACTAATGAAGATTTCCCTAAGTTGCTTCTTGTCCTTATCCCTTTGGTGCATCCCTATTGTTGCAGACTTGTGTCTTCTAGGGTGAAGACAGATGCAAAGTACCCATTTCGGGACTCTGCCATGTCCTTTTCCCCCATTACAACTTCTCCCGTCTCTGACTGTAGTGGACCTACGGTTACCCTCACTAGCCTATTCCTCTTAATATATTTGTAAAAACTTTTACAATCAGACTTAATGTTCCTAGCTAGCTTGTCCTCATACTCATTTTTCTCGCTCTTAATGAGTTTTTTAGTTTTATTTTGCTGGTTTCTAAAACTCTCCCAATCTTCAGATTTGCCACTTTTCTTGGCAGTTTTATAATCCTTTTCTTTTAATTTGATGCTTTCCCTAACTGCTCTAGTTAGCCACGGATGAATTGCTTTCCCTGTGGTACTCTTACTCCGCAAGGGAATATGCGACCGCTGAGAATTTTGCACTACATCCTTAAATATTTGTCACTGTTGGTCTGTCTACATTTTTACCTCTTAATTTTATTCTATATTTGTCACTGTTGGTCTGTCTGCATTTTTACCTCTTAATCTTATTCTCCAGTCTATTTTACCTAAATCTTTCCTCATACCTACAAAATTAGCCTTATTTAAATTCAGAATACTTGCCTCGGATTTAACTATATCCCTCTCTAACTTAATGCAGAATTCAATCATATTGTGATCACTCTGCCCTAGAGGATTCTTAATAGCTACACTGCCAACTAGCCCTGTTTCATTACACAAAACACGGTCTAGGATGGCCTGTCCCCTACTTGGTTCCTCGGCATGCTGCTCTAGAAAGTTATCTCTCATACACTCAATGAACTCTTCTTCTGACCTACTTTTGCCGATTTGGTTTTCCCAATCTATGTGGAGATTGAAATCACCCACTATTATCGCTTTACCTTTCCTACATGCTCCACTGATTTCTTGATTGATACCCTGTGCTGTAAATTTCCATGACGCCCAACTCTATCTCCTTGCCAACACCCTCAACTCCAGGACTACTGACATCCTGACTGGCTGCCTCTCCGACATCAAGTCCTGGACGAGGGACAACTTTCTCCAACTCAAAGTCAGCAAGACCGAGGCCCTCCTGATTGACTCGTGCCAGCACCTCCGTACCTCGGGCGCTGGCAGCATCAGCCTCCACGACTGCACACTCAACCTCACGAAGCCAGTCAGGAACCTGGGTGTCTTGGTTGACCCTGAACTGTCCTTTCTCCCCCACATCTATGCCAAGACTGGCACTGCACCACCACCTCCTCAACACTGCCAGACTCCGCTACTGCCTCACCTCTCAGGCTGCCGAAACACTTATCAATGCATTCGGCACATCAAGGCTCGAATATGTAAACTCAACAACAACAACAACAACAAGATTCCATTTATAAAGCGCCTTTCACGTCAGGAGGACGTCCCAAGGCGCTGCACAGTTGGGTCATGACCCGAGCAGGGGGGAAATGGTCAGGGTGAGGGGAGGGAAGGGAGGGAGCGAGGAGGGGGGAAATGGTCAGGGTGAGGGAAGGGAGGGAGCAAGGAGGGGGAAATGGTCAGGGTGAGGGGAGGGAAGGGAGGGAGCGAGGAGGGGGAAGAGAGTCGAGAGGGGAGCTGAAGGCACTCCCTCCAGATCGGCCTTCCAAACTTTTCCCTTCACAGACTGCAGATCTGCACCTTGTGTACTCTTGTGCACCAGGCTCCGTGACCCCATCACTCCCATCCTTGTCCGACTCAACTGGCTCCCCATCTCCCAGAGGATCGAGTTCAACATCCTCATCCCCATTTTCAAGGCCATCCATGGCCTTGCTGCCTCCTGCCTCTCTGACCTGCTGACTCCCTATCAAACTGCCCGCTCCCTCCATTCAGCAGGCACCGGCCTGCTCCATGTCTAACGCCCAAACCGCCCTATCATAATTGGCTGGGCTTTCAGCCTCTCTGCACCCACACTCTGGAACTCCATCCTACAGAACCTTTGCATCACTTCCTCCCTTGCCTCCTTCAAAGCCGGTCTCAAGACCCTTCTCTTCGATCATGCCTTTGGTCTCCCTCCCACCTCTCTGCCTTGCCTTACCCCTACACCACCCCTCCCCCATGCTTGGGTCCCGACAACTGACTGTTCATCACTTTGGGATGTCCTCCTGACGTGAAAGGCGCTCTATAAATGTAATTTTGTTGTTGTTGAAACTTATCAAGCAGCCTAGACTCCCAAGACTCAAGTCTGATCAGTAAAATAATGTTTCTGAGGCCAAGGAGGGTATGAATTTTACGCTCATCAGCAAGTCAACCCTAGAGACCAAATATTTAAGAAAAGCATCTGATTGTAGCTAGAATCTATTATAATACTCATCGCACGTTGTTTTAAAAGGAACGTTCCATGAACCGAGACAGGAGCAATGCCAATTGGCAAAAAATAATATCATGCCAGGCTTAAACCATTGAAAATTTCACCCCTAGATTTCTGAACAGCACCATTTTTTTAACCTCTGCATTGCAATTTGGTTCTGGTGCTGTACATTTCTATATAACATTATTTTTTCTCCTGTTTGACAGGCACCAAGAAAAAAATATTCTAGATAAACCCATTCTGAAAGTGCTGTTATATACTCAAAGTGCCTTGTAGATTGTATGGTACTTCCACAGTATGCTTTTCTGCATTGTGTAACAATGTTGAATGAAAATACTAAGGCTCCCTGCCTGTTGGAGGTACTGGGTCTTCGCTTAGCATCTCTCTCTTCTCGTGGAGTCCTGTAGCTCAGTGGTTAGAGCACTCGCTTTGCAAGCGAAGGACCTGAGTTCAATTCCAGGCAGGGCGAAACCTTGGGCAAGTTTCCTTACTCCACACGCCTAATAATAATCCCTCCAAAACAAAACAATAATAAATTGGTCATTTTCAATCTACGACTGTTTGTGGGACATTGCTGTGCGCAATTGGCTGCCGCGTTCGCCCACAAATATACAGTCAATTCATTTTACAGTGTGTTCTGTGAAGCGCTTTGGGACGTCCTCCCGACATGAAAAGCGCTATATCAAATGCAAGGATTATTATTATTATTATTATAAGTTGGCCCATATTTCATAGCTGTAGTGCACAGAAATGTACCATATCATGGCAACAACTCTGTGAAGCACATTGTGCGATAATAATCCCTAGTTCATGAATCTTTATTGCCGGATTTTACTCTGGTCATACTTGGTGTTAAAATATATTGTAAATATTAAAATACTTCCTATAGGTCCACCCTCCCACCCCACTCCCTTTCTGACCCCAACTCCCAGCTCGCGTCCAAAACCCCTCATTGTCCAGTGCCCTGGGATGTCTTTCTCACGTGAAGGGCACTAGATAAGTGTAATTTGTTGTTCTTGTAAAAGTATATACTTACATTGGCATTTTCGCAGTTACTAGGATTTAATTTAGTAGAGCAGCCTGAACCGTCCATCTTGTGTTCTCGGAGAGATTTCACATCTACAAACACCCAAAAAGAAAGTGATAGTCTTTATGTGGTATTATTAAAATCAATATGTTCATAATTTTTTTTAAATGTGAATGTCATTTACACAAGTTTCTAATTGATACAGAGAGCCAATAATTGGTTTCATCAAAGACCTAGTTTCACATTCACCCGATTCCCACTTAGTTTATATTTCTTGCACTACTCGTATTAATCATCTACTAACTCATCACACCAACTCTCCTACTACCCTCCATTACTCCCACACTTACCGGCTATATTAAATTACAGGAAATGACGTCCTGACCCGTCCACACATGCGCACTTACCGGCCGACTGCACTGAATCATGGGAAACGTAATCTTGATCTGTCATCGCATGTGCAGAAGAATTTCAATTCCTGCGATTCAATGCAGTTCCAGCACTTGCTGATAAGTGTGCATGGGGTGATGCATTGAATCATGGCAAACATAGCTTTGAGCCATCAACGTACTTGCAGGGACGAACTAACGCATACATGCCAGTAAGACTGTATGGATGTCCACCCGATGTGAAAGGCGCTATCCAAATTTTGTATTGTATAGAATTACGCATGTGCAGATTATTGATTAAATTGGATTTTATACGTCTTATACAGTTTACCTGGAACTTGGACTTCGAGTAAGTCATATTAGATGTTATGATCCTGACTAATACCACATATATGAGTTTTACTGTATTACCATGGAATCTTAATGTCCACCTGAAAAGGCAATCATTCATGAACCATGTGTAGCACAATTTCAAGGTTGAAAAGAATTTGCAGAGAAAATATGTAGGTTGGTCCTCGCTTGACAAATAACTCTGATTAAACTCCAGCAGTACCCCACTTGGGAATTCCCATGCTTGTTTCTCATCACCATTGCCTAATAATCTCTGGAATTAGGTGTGTCTCTCCAGGGAGAGAGTGTATATTGCATTTCAGATGCAGGGACATTTTCATCCAAATTTTAAAAAATTTACCTGGTGGTTCTTTTGAAAAATTCCCACAGAGACCACATACTTTCTGTTCAGCATCAACTTGTACCTGAAAATCAAAATGGATTCAATCTTTTAGGTGTTTTTTTGTCTCCTTTTATGTGTCAGCGGTAAGTATTCACTGTCATATGTTCTGAAATGAATTTTGGAGTGATTCAACACCAAACGTGAAATACAAATCAGAGTAAAGCCAGCGTGAATCACAACTTTCTTTTCAGAAACAGTTCTTAGCCCTATCAAACAGTTGTTCACTTCCATTTTCAAAACAACCATCCACAGTTTGTAAATTGCATTTTGCAAAATTCATGTTAAATTCACAGGCCCCAAAATGTGAATTGAAAATAGACAGAAGCTAAAAAAGTCCATGAGGAAAACAATCAAACATTTTGTTTCCCTAATATTTCTAAATAGTAACAAACATGTATCACATTAACAAACATCTAATTTGATGTAAAGGTTAGAACATGGTGGATTTTAAACTCAGTGTGGCTATTCTCAAGAATAATCGAATCCACTCAACATAGGCAGCTACATGAATATTCCTCAAAGTTTAAAACCACCTACTTATTGTACAACTATTGTTTCGGGGCTCAATATGGTCATTAAGGATATAAATTGGATTGGGTTGAGTTCACCTTCTACAAAACCAGAGCAAACACAACAATAAGAACACGGGAGACCATTCAGCTTGTCAAGTGGCATGAATTGCAGAGACATACTGTATAACCATCCATATAAAAATCTTTTTAGAACTCCTTACACCAAACCTACCGACAATGCATCTTTCTGGTTCCAAATCACAGATATCAAACCTTTCCGACTTAAAAATCTAATGCGAGTTCCGTATCTACGAATATTGATCATTTTGTCATCATACGGCAGAGTTATCCTATAAAAAAAGCACTGTGAGCAGATTGAACATAGGCTTAGGAAAACTTTTTAAACTTTTTAAAATAATATTATAATAATCAATATGTTTCATGTGGCACCTCATCACATCATCAAAAACATCTCAAAGATCTTCACAGGATTTTACTATGAAATGTAGCCATGAAATGAGAGACCAATTTTATCCCGAGGATTTGCTGGCCAGGACATTGGGACAAACTCCCTTCTCTTCAAATAGTACCATGGGATCTTGAGGCGGGTCTTGAAGGTGGCGAGGGAGGGGGCGAGATGGCGGGACTGCGGGATGGAGTTCCACAGGGTGGGTGCAGACTGGCGGAAGGCCCACCCGCCAATAGTGGGGCGAGCAAGGCAAGGGACATGAAGCAGGCCCCAGCCCGCTGAGTGGAGGGAGTGAACAGGATGGTATGGGGTTAGGAGGTCGGAGAGGTAGCAGGGAGCAAGACCGTGGAGGGCTTTGAAGGTGAGGACCAGGATCTTGAACTCTCACATAGGCTAGTGCGGGAGAGGACACGAGCTCTATACATATAATTATTGGACTCCATGGAGTTAATTGGAGTCTCTTGGAGTCTAAATTCAAATTTGCAAATTCCTAAAGTAGAAGAATTAACCAGGTGAGTCACCCCACCTTATCAAACACTGGTCTCAATACCGATATCCATTAAGTCTTGTCATATATATGGCTTTAGAGAAGTGGATTGGGTTTACTAACTGCAGGCAGCAACATTTCGCTAAATTAAATATTCGGTAAAAGGTGGCTAGCCTTTCTGATTCCATATTACCATTTAGGATTAGAAATTGTTTTTTTCTGAGAATTTTGCAATCCAATATTAGAAGTCACAATTAATAGAATTTTTAAAATTGAGTTAAGATGGCATTCTGTGAACTGTCATTGAAATGCTGTAATTGAAAGGAAAAAATATAAAAGGGTAAGAGGAGAAGTAGGGGAATGGGAGTAAAGAGATAATTCTTAGACTCAATGGACCGATGTTCTGTGGTGAAAAAAAACTGTGAATCTATGATTCATGGAGTAACAGGCTCAATGGTGAGGTGGGCAATTTATTGTCAACCATTTCCATCAATTGAGGAGAGGGGGAGCATTCTTAACCCACAGCTATTCAATATTTTGGACATTGCCAGGAATAGATTTCTGAAAATTTGATAATCATCGCATCAAATGTTACATTATTAGGGTGAAAATCAAATGTTCTCCCTAATACTGTGTATGAAAATAATAATAAAATAAAATAATAATGCTTGCATTTGATTTAGGTCTTATCACATCTTTGAGATATCTCAAAGTGGAGTGACTGTATTTTGGAGGCGAAATGCAGCACAGCAGTGTCCCACAAACAGTCATTGATTGAGTGACCACATTAAATCATTAATTTTTTGGAGAGATTATTACCCCTGAAAAATGATTCGCCAATCAACTAACAACCAGGTTTCTACTTACTTTAGGTAAACAGAGGGGTGTGGAGCAAAATGTTATCAAATGTTACAAAACAGGCAGATAAAGAACAGAGAATAAAAGAGCAAATAATTATTTCTCTTCCAGACAATTTAACTCACTCTTGGTCTTTAACAGAAATTATCCCTTCATCCACAATAATTGTGACTCCTTCAATTTTCATGAAAATGTGTTCCAGGATGCCATTTGATCCACGGCGGATTTGTACATTAAAATCTTCTGAACTGTCTTTGCACTGGCGACTCATTACAAATTTGCATTCTGATGACAAATAGTAAAATTTGTCTTCAAATGTCCGGAATCCTCCACTTCCCCATGTGTTGCAGATCTCTGAAAAAGAAAAGGAGAAATACCAATTGCTTTCATAGATGTTATAATACTAAAGAAAGATATAATTATAGAATTTGAGTCACCTCATAATTTAACAGGTTAAACCATTGAATATTCAAATATCTTAATAATGAGATGAGTCTGTACTTACTCTTGCTGCCATCCCTGCTGTAAGATGAGAAGACATCTCTCTCATACCGTTTATGATTGTAAGTCAATGATCTCACGCCTCTGTGGACAATAGACCCATCATATCCTAGGGAAAAAAATAAAGTTTATTTTAAAAATCCATTATTAAATTACTTTTCAGTGAACATACCTGCAGTTAACAAAAAAAGAAAACTGTGTTGGTAAAAGATTCATATTAACAATCCTTGAATGTGTCCTTCCTACAGCAGAAACATTCAATTTCAGTCTGAATGCGCTAATACTGTATTTAATAAATAACTCAGGCACTGTAAGCTTATTGAATCGCTAAAACCATTTCAGACTCAGCTCCATGCGCTCTTTAATAGGTGTGAAGTCATATTGACCACAGAGAGTGTGGAGTCCTGTAGCTCAGTGGTTAGAGCACTCGCTTTGCAAGCGAGAGACCTGAGTTCAATTCCAGGCAGGGCGAAACCTTGGGCAAGTTTCCTTATACCACACGCCTAATAATAATCCCTCCAAAACCAAAAACAATAATAAATTGGTCATTTTCAATCTACGACTGTTTGTGGGACATTGCTGTGCGCAATTGGCTGCCGCGTTCGCCCACAAATATACAGTCAATTCACTTTACAGTGTGTTCTGTGAAGCGCTTTGGGATGTCCTCCCAACGTGAAAAGCGCTATATCAAATGCAAGGTTTATTATTATTATTATTATTAGAGAGTGCTTACTTACTTCTCCCTTTCATCTCCAAAGAAGATCATTTTAAGTTGATCCTCAAACAGAAAATTTACCTCATTGATTTGAAGTTAGCAACTAATAAAACCATATACGGAGAAGGAAAAGTCATTTGGAGCATCAAGGTCACATTTTTCTAGGCTGTAAATTGCCAATCCATCATGGACCACACTCTATCTGTTCTATCTCTGGAAAAAAATTCTGGATCAATATTTTCTAACCAGCAACTTATTCATCCAATTACATACTTCCTCTACTCTTTTGACATCATTGTCTGATTGACTGGAAATTTTAGATCCCCTTCTTTCTTTATTTTGCCAATGGATGGATCCTCCTTCCTAATGTACACATGTTTACTTTCAGACTGAATACACAGCAAATGAAAATAGTTGGGAATCCCAAATGCTTACAGAAAACTTTTAAGTGAGATTTTGGTTTCAAGTGAGATTAGATTTCCATTCTATTTTCATCTTTCCTCTCCAATAGAAATAGAACATTTTACTCTGGGGCATCCATCAAGTATCCATCTGATTGTAGACTATACCACCATGGGTGCAATATGAGCCAGCTCAACACAGTCCTCACCCAATTCCACCCCCCCACCCACCACCACCCACCCACACACACAGAATTTCCAAAGGTCACTGGCTAATGATAACCTGATTAATAATGAATGGGAAGTCTTGCTAGTTTTCTAGCCTTGTCCAGAAACACGGAAAACATTTCTAGCCACTAGTATAATAATAATTTGATATAGTGCCTTATCATATCTTCAAGACGTCTGAAAGCACTTCACAGAATATACTGCAAAGTGAATTGACTGCATATTTTGTCGGCGAAGCTCAGCAGCCAATTGCACACAGCGATGTCCCACAAATGCTTGTGGATTGAGTGACCAAATTATTAGTGCTATTTTTTTTGAAGGGACTATTACCCTTGAAAAAACCAATCCATCAATCAAGTAACAACTGGGTTCCTACTTACCTCTAGGTGTGTATAACTGATTAGCTGAGAGCAGCTAACTCTGCACATCAAGATCAGATTCAACAAGTTAATCATTGGAGACTGTAAGTTATATTTTGAAACAATATAGATTTGATAGACAAAAGAGCAAAAACAATTTTAAACACAAGGCCCCCAAGAGGAAATAATGGTAATATTCAACTCCCGTAAAGGGATTTTATGATTCTAACCTTATACATGCAAGTTTAATTGTTGTAAAATTATAAAACAAGTTTGTTACCTGTCGATGTCAACTTACCATAATAAGTGTCAAAATAGTTTCTGCTAAACTCAGTGGCAGCAATTTCCATGTTACCTAAAGATAAAGTTTATTCAATAATTCAGACATGAAGCAAATTGAAACAAATTTATACAATTCAAACATATTCTGCAATCTTTGTGGTTGGACTATCCTCCTGGTGGCGAGGTAGGGAAGTGGGATCTCCTTGGAGCTGAGCTGGCTCTAGGTGGTGTGGCAAGGCAAGGGAATGTTAGATCAAGTCAATCCTCTGTGACTTTCTCATTCGTCTGGTTCCTGCACCAGGTGGCCAGTAATACACTGCTGATAACAGGCTAGTTAGCCTCGATTATCGGTAGGAGTTGGAGGAACAAACCAGTCACTAGGAACAAGAATTCTTCCCATTCAGGTTCCCACTCTTCCAACTCAGCTTACCTTTGCCAGCTGAAGCCCTATCAATTAATATGGTTCTTGGTGGACAAGCAGTGGAAAGCTCTTAATAGCAATGTAAATAATTCTTATATTTGATGTAATGCTTTTTACCTCAGGAGGACATCTTAAACTGTTTCACAGGATGTACTGTAAAGTGTTTAATGACTGTATTTTGTACGTGAATGCACATCCAATTTGCACACAGCAATGACCCCCAAACAGCTATTAAATGAATGACCATTCTTTTTATTTAAGGGATTATTGACCAGGGCACCGGGAGCAACTTGCTGCTTGTTTATAATTATTTCCATCAGATCTTTAACAACCACCTGAACAGGTGGACGAAGGCCTCAGTTAACATCTTATCTGAAGGCCAGCACCTCCAACACAACACAACCTCTAGCATTAATTCCCTTGAAGTGGAAATGCATTTGTTGTGACATTTGTTGTGTATAACATTTTAGATTGAATACGAAGTCTCTTCTTACACTTTTATGACCTGCTCCAAAGTTAAACTATCACAAGAGGATAAGTTTACAAGATTGATCTGGATGAAGAAGGCCCCTTGGCCCATCTTATCTCATCTCAACAACAACAACTTGCATTTATATATTTCCCCTCAAGGTAGTGTCCCAGAACATTTGACAGTGGCAGAGCACGATGCCTAACCTGGGGGAGGTGACCATAGGCGCAGTCAAAGAGGAAGGTCTTCAGGGACAATCTGAAGATTGGGAAGGAAGAGGCAAGGCTTTGGATAGAAAATAAGTGTTCCAGAGTTTTGGGGCATAATGGCTCAAAGTGCAGCCACCAATGGTGGAATGGAGGGTATGAGGAACATGCAGTTGGGAGCTAAGCAGGTCAAAGAGTTAGGGAGGTGCTCGGGCATGAAGAGATTTGAAAACGAGCGTGAGGATCTTGAAATCAATCCATTTGGCGATAGGGACCAAGTGGAGTCTGGCTAGGACTGATGTGATGGGGGGGACGGTGTTCAGTATGGATGAGTGCAGAATTTTGGATCAGCTATGTGAGAGGCAGAGTTTTGGATCAGCTGGATTTTATGGATGGTGAAGCTGGGGAGTCTGGCGAGGAGGGCATTTGAAAAGATGAGTCAGGAGGTGATGAACACACGGAAGAGTGTTTCGGCTGCAACTGGGGTAAGGCACGAATGGAGCTCGGCAATGTGGCAGAGATGGAGGAAGGCGGTCCTTGTCAGGGACCGGATGTGGGGAAGGAAGGACAGCTGTGCGTCGAAAATGATGCCTAGGTTGTGAACTGGTGAGTCTGAGGGATAGACCAGAAAGATTGATGAGGTCAAAGCAGAATACCCACCCTATTACCCCCATGCCCCAATTACTGCATCATGCTGCTTTATAAATTAGTCTTGTGTCCTGGCCTCTACTACCTTCCCTGGCAACCTGTTCCAATCATTGATTACCCTCTGGTAAAGAAAATCTTCCTGGTGTCTGTCCTGAAATTTCCCCTTATTATTCTGAACCTAAGTCTTCTTGCTCTTCTGTATTGATACAGCCTAAAATATTGATATGGGTTCACTTTTCGAATCACATTTAAAATGTTGTACACCTTTATGAGGCCTGCTCTGAGGTATCTTCTTTCAAGACTGCAAAAACCTAGCTTGTTTAATTGTTGCTCATAGCTCATCCCAATATTGGGATCATCCTCATTGCTCTCCTCTCTACAACTTCTTGGACTTGCACAGCCCACTTTTTTATATCATGAATGAGAAATGTATGCAATACTCAAGGTGCAGTCTGACCGAAGCACCGTACAACCTGAGTATGACATTTGAGGATCATAACTCAGCTGATTTAGCTCAGCAACCTGTTTGCCTTGACTTTACATAGTGACAAGTCAACTGGCATCGCTTGATCTCTTTCAGTTTCCCCTTTGACAACATCCATTTACTATATTTACTTTAACTACACCTTTATTTGAGCTACTTGTACCATGAGCCAAATTGCAGCCTAAATCACCTTAAGAAATGCAGGTCAAAATTGGAAGGAAACAAATACACACAAATTTTTAAAAAATCTATTCAATTTTAAATGAAATATATGGTTTTCTTAATATATCTTAGAGCAATAAGTCACAAGTATTAATACAGAATTGTTGTCAAATAAGGTGTTCATAAAAATAATTTGCAAGATAAAAAATATATGATCAAGACTTAATTTACTTAAGTTAATTTACAATAGATTCTTTGGGTATTACTTTTACAAAGTTGTCTATAATATCACAAACATTACTGACTGAACAAATTAGTAAATATCTAAATAAGTGAAAAAATAATTATCAATTACATAAAACGGTTTCTCAAAGCACATAATAAATTGAGATTTAGAGATGACTAAAAGCATAGTTAAAGAGATAGATCCTTAGGTCTTTTAACAGACAAAATGTTTTAAAAAGAGAATGACTAGATGGAAACATCTTACCCTTGAAAAGGGTAAGAACCCAGGCAGCAAATAACACAGTGTACTTCATTGTATTGATTTGAGACTGGGCTAGAAAATGAATATCATTCTATTGAGTTCTGCTGACACCAGAAACTCATTGGTGTAAGCCTTTTATACCTCAGTGAACTATTTATATGTGACACGCTATTTAAATAGAATGAGGAAGTTGAAATGTTTGAGATAATTATCAAATATTTTCATTCAAATGACTCATTGGAGTTAAAATGTACATTTCCTAGTGTGCATATACCCATATTTTCTGTTAATTATTATGCACAGAACTAAAACCACAGAACTGTTTTTGAATTGGGTGAATGCAGCCTTTCGTCTTTCTGTATGCTTGAATGTCACATAAAATTCATATTACAAAACTCAAAAGCTTAATTGTGGTGAATAGAACATCTACATGAAAGGAGCACGTTTTATGTTTCATGTTCCAAAGTCTTAAGGATTGCCAAGATGGATTGTACTTCTCAAGTAGGGCAAAATTAATTAATTAAATAAAAACAAACACAAATAAATGACCAGTTTTCAACCTAATCATAAATTATTCCACCTGGAGAGAATTACTCTCCCCCTTCCTAAATCGGTAGCTAGGGATCACATCAACTGTAGTTATCAAATTTCATTCTTTCTGACTTTACTTGAATTGTTTTATAAGCCCATCTGAACTAAATGGTGTAGATTATATTTACCGTCCTTCTTTGGTGTAACATAATTCCAAGTCATTAAATGATTAGAATGATTTTCTACCTTTTAATTGTGACAAACAAGCCTCTAACTGCACCAACACCGAGAGAATGAGCAAAATTAAAAATAATATTTCTTGACAATGATTGTTAGTTTCTTGAAATTTGGATTAATTGCATAAATGGTGGGAAAGAACAAAAGTGAAATATGACAGTGAACAGCAATTTCTGTCACTTACAGTCAGAGGTTGTATTAGCTGATTTATCGTATTTCAAGTTTAAATGATCAGATGTTTATTTTATTTCAAGGTTAAACGAACATTAACAGAATTTATCGGCAACAACGTAATTAATGCCTGAACCTGGAAACATATGCTCATCACTCCCAGCAACACAAGTTCAGCAATGTTTGTGCGCAATCTTTATTAAAATTATAACGTGGTAATTGAAAGCAAATATTGTAAAAATATTATTTAATAATAATAATCCTTCCATTTGATATATCGCCTTAGTACATCATTGAGTCATTTCAAAATACAGAATATACTGTAAAGTGGATTGACTCCGCATTTGTGGGCAAAACGTGGCAACCAATTTCATACAGCAGTGTCCACAAACAGTTGTGGATTAAGTGACCAAATTGTTTTCTTTGACTATCTCCACCAATCAATAAACAACAGGGATCCTATTTACTGCTAAGTAATCTGAGGCATATGCAGTAAGGAAATTTGTCTAAGGTATCGCCCACCCGGGATTCAAAGTTGGGTTTTCTTGCTTATAAGGTGAGCTCGCTATCCACTATGCTGCACGATTCCACAAATCCTGTAGCTTGGTGGTTAGCATGCAGTGTATTTCATGTTGATCAAATGTACCAGAGAGATAATATCAACTGTAAAGTTAGATTATTGAGCCTATTGAAGGTTTTAAGAAAAGATGTCCAGGAAGCCTGTGGTATCCCAGCACTTTGGGATGCCATTTCTGACTTGAAAGGTGCTATATGAATGCCATTTGTTCATGTGCAACCTCAATGTATTCAGGAGGTATAGAGAAGGAAAAAGAGTGGGGAAGGGGGGCAGTATTGATCAAAGATACTGTTACAGCCCTGGAAAGGATGATGAGCTGGAGTGATCAAAGACAGTTAGAGTTAAGGAGCAGAAGAGGAGCTGTTACACTGCTGGGGTGTACTATAGACCAGGGTGGTCCAACCTTTTGGCTGCGGTGGCCGCATTCCAGCACAAAGCCATTTCCAACATTCCGACCTGCTCCCTCCCTCCCTAATGACCATCCTCCCAGGGCAGCAACAGGAGCCGGCAGTTGGGAGAACACAGCGCAGAGCCTTTACTAACAGTCTGTCAGGAAGGCAAGCGTGTCCTTTACCAATCGAGAGGGGGGAGGAGAGAGAGGGAGGAAGCAAGGAGAGGGGAGAGAGAGGAGTGGGGAGAGGAGGAAAGGGACTGCTTGGGACTGGTGAGGGAAAGGATAGAGAGGGGGGGGAAGAGTGGGGAGGTGGGATGAAGAGCGAAAAAGACAAGGGAAAAGGGGGAGAGAAAGAGAGGGGAGGGGACAGAGAGGGGTAGGGGGGAGGACATTCTCTCTCCCCCCTCTCTCAGGCACTCTCTCCTTCCCTCACACACACTCTCTCTCTCTCAATTACTCTCTCACTCCCCTTCTCACACCCTCTCTTCCCTCTCACATTCCACCTCCCCACTCTCAATCGCTTTCTCCCCCTTCTCATTCTCTCTTCCCCCCACCACCACCTCCTCTCTCACAAACACTCTCTCAATCGCCCTCCTCTGTTTCTTTCGCTCCCCCTCTCCCTCACATTCACTCCCTCCCACCTCACACTTTCTCTCACTCTCTGCTTGTCACAAGCTCACACTCCTCCTCTCCTCCTCTCACACTCTCTCTCTGCTCTCCCTCTCTCAATCACTCTCTCTCTCTCACGTTCCCTTTCTTACCTTTCACGCACTTTCCTCTTTCCCTGCCCTCTCTCTTTCCCCCACCCCTCTCTAGCCACTCCTCTCTCCCCCTCCTCTCTTTCCCCTCTCTCTCTTCCGTCCCCTCTCTCTCTCTCTCTCTCTCTCCCCCTCCTCTCTTTCCCCCCACCCCCGATCCCTCTGCCCCCCTCTCTCTCCCAAGTTATTATCTGCAGTGGCAGGAGCCGGCGGTTGGTTGCTAAGGATGCGGTTGGTAATAGACACGCTTGCCTTCCTGACAGACTGCAGTAAAGGGTCTCCACGCTGCATCCTCCCCAACCACCAGCTCCTGCCGCTGCCCTTGGAGGATGTTCACCAGGGAGGGAGGGAGCGGGTTGGAATGTTGGAGATGATCGGGGCCGCATAAAATCACCCACCCAGCCGCTGGCGGCCCACGTGCCACCTGTTGGACCACACTGATAGACCATCAAATAATGGGAAGGAGATTGAAGAGCAAATCGGCAAGCAGAGTTCAGAAAGATGTAAAAACAATAGAGTAGTGATAATGGGGGACTTCAATTATCCTAACATAGACTGGCAAAATAACAGTGTAAAGGGCAAGGAGGGGGAAGGATTCCTGAAATGTGTGCAGGAAAACTTTCTGGATCAGTATGTTTCCAGTCCAATGAGGAAGGAAGCAGTGATGGATCTAATCCTGGTGAATGACATGGAGCAAGTGGAGCAGGTTTCAGTAGAAGCGCTTTGGGACGTCCTCCCGACGTGAAAGGCGCTATATCAAATGCAAGGATTATTATTATTATAAGAGCATCTGGACAACAGTGATCACAACATTATTAGGTTTAATGCAATTATGGAAAGGAACAAGGAGCAATCAAAGGTAAAGATCCTCAACTGGAAGAGGGCTAATTTCAGTGAGTTAAAAAGGGATCGGGCCCAGGTGGATTGGGAAGATCGATGTGCAAAACAGTAAACAAGCAATAGGAAACCTTCAAGGAGGAGATGGTTAGGTTACAGACCAAACACATAAGGGGAAAAAGTAGAGCATCTAAAGCTACATGATGACTAAAGAAATTGGGATTAAAATGAAACAGAAAAATTAGGCTATAATAAATGTCAGGTTCAAAATACATTAGAAACTCAAGCAGGATACAGAAAGTGCAGAGAAGAAAAGAAAAAGGAAATAAGAGGGGCAAATAGAGTGTATGAGAAAAGATTAGTGGGTAACATAATAGGGAACACTAACATCTTCTATACACATATAAAGAGTAAAATGATGGTCAAAAGAAGGGTTGGGCTGGTTAGGGACCAAAAAGGATAATGTCTTGTGGAGGCAGAAGGTGTTTCTCAGGTACTGAATGAGTACTTTGCATCTGTCTTCACAAAAGAGGATGCTGCCAATGTTGCAGTAAAGGAGGAGGGGGTAGAGAAATTTGATAGGATATAAACAAATAGAGAGGTAATTAAAAGGTTAGCAGCCCTCAAAGTAGAAAAATCACCCAGCCTGATGGGATACATCTTAGATTGCTGAGGAAAGTTAGGGTGGAAATAGTGGAGGCTCTGGCCACAATCTTTCAATCCTCCGTGGATATGGGAATGGTGCCAGAGGACTGGAGGGTTGTAAATGTCACACCGCTGTACAAAAATGGGGAGATGGATAAATCTTTTAGCCTAATGTCAGTTGTGGGGAAACTTCTGGGACAAAATTAATTTTCATTTGGAAAAACATAAGTTCATTAATAACAGTCAACACAGAATTTTTAAAAACAAATCATGTCTGACAAACTTAATTGAGTTCTTTGATGAAATAATGGAGAAGATTGATGAAGGTAGTGCAGTTGATGTAGTGTATATGGACTTTCAGAAGGTGTTGGATAAGGTGCCACATAACAGACTAGTTATCAAAAGTGAAGCTCATGTTAGCAAAATTGAAGCCTCTGGGATAAAAGGGACAGTGGCAGCATGTATACGAAATTGGCTGGGAGACAGAAAGCAGAGAGTAGTGGTGAACGGTTGTTTTTTAGACTGGAGGGAAGTGTGCAGTGCTGTCCCCCAAGGATCGGTATTAGATTCAATGCTCTTTTTGATATACATAAGTGACTTGGTCTTGGGTATAGAAAGCAACATTTTAAAGTTTGCAGATGACACAAAACTTGGGAACGTAGTAAACAGTAAGTAGGATAGTGGCAGACTGCAGGAGGACATAGAAAGGCTGCTGAAATGGGCAGACATGTGACGCATTTTGGGAGGTAGAATGAGGAGAGACAATATACAATAAATGGTACAGTTTTAAAGCGGATAATAATAATCCTTGCATTTGATATAGCACTTTTCACATCTTCTAGATGTCTCAAAACACTTCACAGAATATGCTGTAAAGTGAATTGACCGTATATTTGTGGGTGAAACGTGGCAGCCAATTGCGCACAGCAGTGTCCCACA